CATAGCTTCAGAGTTGGGGAAGATTGAACCCCTTAAAGGAATTACCAAAAGAGGGGGTAAAAGATATATTGCAGCTATTATAATGTAACTTGCAGAAAATCAGCTTTAATAGCAAAAGGGGACTTACTGGCTCAAAAAGTAGAAGGTGCAAAAGCAGGAAAGGGGACGGCTTCAGGACTGGTTTGATTCAGGGGCTTGATGATATGATCGAGCCTGTTCTCTTCTGCCAGACTGCTTGGCCTCTTGCAGATTCAGCTTTGTTCTTAAGCTGGCTTTGTTTTGAGTGGCAAAACAGCTGCAACCATAGGTCTAAGATTGACATCCACCTTCCATGTCAGTGAGGAGGAGAGAATGAACAGACTTTTTGAGAAGGGCCAAGGGCACATCTCCAGTCACATCCTGTCACTCTAAAGTACGTCAGGTGCCCATTCCTGATTGGTGAATCCCTTTGTCTAGGATAAATGCAGATCAGATTGGTTTGGGACAAGATGAAGGTGAGGGAAGATTATCTGACTGCCTTACCAGGGAATACTACTGGAGCTGGATTAGAGCTAAACATCTGCACCCATAGCAGCTGCCACCCAGCTGGACTGGGCCTGGAGATGGAACTGACATTGAAGTGACATTGGCGGACTGAAGTAACCATAGTGGGGTTGCATCATGCTCATTTCCTCATTTCTGGTGTTCAGCCCAGGTCCTAACACATAGTAGGCATTTGGCAAGTGTTTGCTGAGTAGGATTAAACTGGAGCACTGCACCTTGCTTAATTTGAAGGAAATAAATTTGTGTCTGATGAAAATGATGGCGAAAATCACATCTCCGTTTTAAATACAATCTTAGCTCCTCTACCCAGATTCTACGTTTTAATCTGTATTTAATTTTCAGCCATCATTTTCACCATGAGAACTATGAGAGATAAATGTTTGTGTCCATCTGTGGTACTGTGGTTATTGCAAACTGAATGAACTATGTTATAAGGTAACTTGAACAGATGTCTATTCTTTGCAAGCCTAAAAAGTCCCTATAGCCAGCTGTGCTGCAATCCCTTCAGCTCACAGCATGAACTATTGATGTGTTGGGGTAGAACTGTTCTACTTTCAAATTGTTTCTCTTCCCTGTTTTTAGACCCCCAGTCTATCTCCTACATGTTTATCTCCAACATAAAAATTGGTACAAAATACTGTCTGGAATGAATCATTCTTAATTTCTACTTTGTGTCTTCAAATCTTTAATTAATGATATACCCCCTTCCATCTTATTGTAAATTTGTCTCATAGAGCAGAACTGAAAGAATTTCAGAGCAAATGCCCACATATCTACCACCTAGACTTTATAATTATCACCTTACTTTATTTACAGACCTGTACATTCTATCAACTCGTTCTTCCATCCATCTTAGGGTTTTTTTTTTTTTTTTATGTATTTAGTACAGGGTCTCACTACATAGATTGGACTCATAGTGATCCTCCTATTTTCACCCTCCCAAGCACTGGGATTACAGGCGTGTGCCACCATGCCCAGTCTCAATGCTGTCTCACTGTGCTCTGGGGGCAGAGCCAGCTCGGCACTCTGAGGATTGAACCCTGGCTGCGGTGCTCTGCCTAAGCACGTGCTTTAGTCTGCTAAGCTATCGTCTTAGTTTTTTGGGGATCCATTTCAAAGTAAATTTTTTTTTTTAATTTTATTTATTTGTGTGTGTGTGTGTGTGGCCAGCTCAGCCCACCAGGGGGCAGGGCTGGCTGGCATGTGGTGCTGGGGGATTGAACCGCGGTCCCTTTGCTTTTGTTAAGCTTGTTCTAAGTAGGTGCTTTAGACCACTGAGCCATCTCACCAGCCCCCAAAGTAAATTGTAGAGTCATGATGACATATTGTATATCATGACATTTAATTTTTTCCATTACACTTTAGATTCTTAAGAATATTTTAAAATCTTGTTTGAGGTCCTGTGTTTCTCTTGCCTGTCCAAACGTGCATATTTGCACCTTTAACAATCAAGAATTCAGGGCATCCGTCCATATGACATAATCCCCGGGTGCCCACACTCTTAATCTTGCTCTTTAATTTTTTTCTCTATTGCTTCCTCTCTTATCTCTTCACACTGCACAACTTTCATTTGCTTTCCCTTTTCCCTTTCAGTTCCCCAGCAGATAATTTTTAAACTAAACAACAGCTGAACAATATCCCCACTGTTCTACATGTCTGGGTATGCATGGCACGTCCACGCTTGTCCAGAAGAGAAGGAAACACAATTTCTTCCCTTTTATTTCTTTGCACCAAAAGTGATTAAATCTGTCTGCATGACCTTCATACATCAGACCATTTGGCTATTTTTAAAGTCTATTTAATAGAGTAAGCCAGGCTGCATTCCCTTCGTAGAAGAAATCTTTACCACTAAATGGTGTGGTAAATGCCAAAAGAACAATTCATCTTTTGTGGGACAAGAGAGAGACTGCCAGCCTACAAATGCTGGATTGTTTAAATTATTATATGGTAATTCATGTTAGTTACATATTTGCATTGTTGTACAAGCATTTTTTTAATTGGTTAAAGATAACTTTTTGAAGGGAGTGCTGTTCTTGTAGAGCAGGCTTAATAGGCCATGTTACATGATCCAGTACATTTCATTTTATTACTCTGGCCAGTTTTTTCATAAAGGGCTATCAGCACTGAGGTAAAAAGATTGCAAATAATCTCCAGCAACTCAGGCACCACTATGTTTTGTTTACTAGCAGCCATAAGAAAGCTTTTGGTTAAAAAAAAAAATCTTAAGGAGTGTTTTCCTTTTTGATGAGCATCAATTTCACAGTAATCTTTTCAACACTATTCAGGATTATAAACTTGGGTTCTCTCTCTCTCTCTCTCTCTCTCTCTCTCTCTCTCTCTCTC